TCCAAATCATCCAGAAGCGAAACAACGAGAAGGCCGAAAACATTTCTGTTTCAATACTGTTTTCATATTTCCGACTTTACGGACCCTGTTGGATTGTTGCCTTCCCTGGACCTCTTGGGCCAGACTTGGGCCTCTGTGGGGCCCGTCTTGAAGCTCCTTGGTGCCGTCATGAGGCCGCAAGAGCGAGGCACCTTGGGGAGAAGGAGGGGGGAAGGAAGAGGAGGACGAGGAGGAGGAGGAGGAGGAGGAGGAGGAGGACCAGGAGGAGGAGGAGGAGGAGGATGATGAGGACGACGAGGAAGGAGAGAAGGACACAGATAATGGGGAATCTGCGAACATATGAGGAGCAGGAAGAAGAAGAGGACGAATAGGAAGTGGCGGAAGAGGAAAAGCAGGAGGATAAGGAGGTTGAGGATGATGATGATGATGATGATGATGATGATGAGGAGGAGGAGGAGGAAGAGGAATTAGAGGAAGAGGGAGAGAGAGGAGAAAGAGGATGAGGATGATGAGGAGGAAGGAGGGGAGGAAAAGGGGGAGGAGAAGAATGAGGAGGAGGATGGATGCCTTGCTTCATGCTAGACCTACCACTCGCCTGAGACGTATTCGCGCCTCTGGGCCCCGAGACGCCCTGAGTTGTCCCGCCCCATATCCAACTTTGCGGTGTCCCGCCCCATGTCCACGCGCACGCACGCTGTCTGCATTCGAAACTATAAGGAACAACGTGCATGGCGCGAAACGTCACTGCAATATTGTGTACATATATATATATATATATATATATATGTATGTATGCATGCATGTATGTATGTATGTATGTATGTATGTATGTATGTATGTATGTATGTATGTATGTATGTATGTATGTATGTATATGTATGTACGTACGTATGTATGTATGTATGTATGTATGTATGTATATATATATATATATATATATATATATATATATATATGGGTCTTCTGCGTAACCGCAACTCTGTGGCCCCCGGCAAGCCAATTTCAGACAAGTGTCAACTCCTCCTCGAGCTCTTCGATACGTGCCGCTCACACAACGTCCGACTCGGTAATACGGCTCTTTAGCAGAAGCGTGTTCGCTACTGTCTCCAGCACATCCGCGAGGATCTTTGCGCCAGTGCATGCGATACTCAGCGGGCGACCCCCTCTTCGTCGGAAATTCGAGGCGGAGGGCGAAGACGGATACATGAGTGAGGGAGGGCATCCGCGCGCCTTCGGGCACGGATGGATCTCCTCCACCGATCCTGATGTTTTGTTTGTCCCAGGCTGCAAGGTACCCTCGTCGCACCCCTTCTCCTACCCTTCTTCCTCTTTTTTATTTTCCCCCGATGCCACTTGTGGCGTCAAAAATTCGGATAGCGGCGCAGTCGTGTGAAACAACTGTGGGAGACGCTTGCAAGGACGATTGAAAGCATGTCTGCAGAGCTTGCGAATTCGAGAAAAAAAACTTCGCAGGAGCTCCCAAGGGGCTTCGAGAGAGCTGCGGATAGGCTTCCCAATAATGTAATGGGAACGAATAGGAAAACGCTTGCTGGAAAACGCTGCGAATTCAGAAACGCTGCGAGGTTCCTTGACTGGCGCCGGAAAACGCTCCCAGGCTACCCTGCGCTGCTGGTTTTCTAATCTGAAACCATCTCAGTCCTCAGAAGGCTAGCTATCGGGGAAACACCCTACTAGTGGAGCGATCCACAGCGCGTGACACGCCTGTGGGGGACGCTTACCAAAGTGCGTGGAATGATGTCTGGAGAGCTTGCCAACTCGAGAAAGAAGCTTCGCAAACACTACGAAGAAACTTCGAGCAAAAACTGCGGGAAAAATCTTTACGGATATGTATTGCGAACGAGTAGGGAAAAACTCTCGGGACACGCTGCGAGTTTCCGGCCAACTCTCTGCGAACTCAGAATGTTTCAGATTAGAAGCCGGCACTGCAACGAGCCCCGGACCTCGTTCTGGCTTCCAGGAAATGTGGCGTGCTGGACCCGGATAGCAAAGCAGTCCAATGCGCGCGAAATGCCTTGAGGAGGCGCTTGCAAGGACGCTCGAAACGATGTCTGGAGAGCTTGCAAACTCGAGACGGGAGCTTCGTATCAGCTCCCAGAGAGCTTGGAAGGAGCTGCGGAGAGGCTTAACGGAAAAATCTTGAGAACGAATCGGAACACGCTTGCCAGAACACGCTGCGACTTCAAGCGGCCTGCTGCGACGCTGCTTGACTGGCGCCGGAAAGAGCTCCTGGGCTACCCTGCGCTGCCCGCTTCTACTCTGAAGCCCTCGTGGCTCTCAGAGACCTGCCTAGGAAATCAGAAAAAAGCTTGCAGGAGCACGCTGCCGGTACAAGCCAAGCGCTGCGGGGACTCTTCACGGGAGCCAGGCCGAGCTCTGGGGCTGCCCTGCGGTGCCGGCTTCTAGGCGGACGCCCTCCGAGCTTCCGGAGAACTGTCCGGGAACCGCCCGGGCGCGTGAAATGCCTTGGGGAAACGCTTGCAAGGACGCCTGACAGGATGCCTGGCGAGTCTGCAAGCTCGAAAATGGAGCATCTGACGCCCTCTTAGCTCTCAGAGAACTGTCCGGGAACAGCCCGGGCGATTGAAATGCCCTGGGGGAACGCTTGCAAAGACGCCTGAAAGGATGCCTGGCGAGTCTGCAAGCTCGAGAATGGAGCATCTGACGCCCTCTTAGCTCTCAGAGAACTGTCCGGGAACAGCCCGGGCGATTGAAATGCCCTGGCGAAACGCTTGCAAGGACGCCTGAAAGCACTCCTGGCGAGTCTGCAAGCTCGAGAATGCAGCATCTGACGCCCTCTTAGCTCTCAGAGAACTGTCCGGGAACAGCCCGGGCGATTGAAATGTCCTGGAGAAGCGCTTGCAAGGACGCCTGAAAGGATGCCTGGCGAGTCTGCAAGCTCGAGAATGGAGCATCTGACGCCCTCTTAGCTCTCAGAGAACTGTCCGGGAACAGCCCGGGCGATTGAAATGCCCTGGGGAAACGCTTGCAAGGACGCCTGAAAGGATGCCTGGCGAGTCTGCAAGCTCGAGAATGGAGCATCTGACGCCCTCTTAGCTCTCAGAAAACTGTCCGGGAACAGCCCGGGCGATTGAAATGCCTTGGGGAAGCGCTTGCAAGGACGCCTGAAAGGATGCCTGGCGAGTCTGCAAGCTCGAGAATGGAGCATCTGACGCCCTCTTAGCTCTCAGAGAACTGTCCGGGAACAGCCCGGGCGATTGAAATGCCCTGGGGAAACGCTTGCAAGGACGCCTGAAAGGACTCCTGGCGAGTCTGCAAGCTCGAGAATGGAGCATCTGACGCCCTCTTCGCTCTCAGAGAACTGTCCGGGAACAGCCCGGGCGATTGAAATGCCCTGGGGAAACGCTTGCAAGGACGCCTGAAAGGATGCCTGGCGAGTCTGCAAGCTCGAGAATGGAGCATCTGACGCCCTCTTAGCTCTCAGAGAACTGTCCGGGACCAGCCCGGGCGATTGAAATGCCCTAGGGAAACGCTTGCAAGGACGCCTGAAAGGATGCCTGGCGAGTCTGCAAGCTCGAGAATGGAGCATCTGACGCCCTCTTAGCTCTCAGAAAACTGTCCGGGAACAGCCCGGGCGATTGAAATGCCCTGGGGAAACGCTTGCAAGGACGCCTGAAAGGATGCCTGGCGAGTTTGCAAGCTCGAGAATGGAGCATCTGACGCCCTCTTAGCTCTCAGAGAACTGTCCGGGAACAGCCCGGGCGATTGAAATGCCCTGGGGAAACGCTTGCAAGGACGCCTGAAAGGATGCCTGGCGAGTCTGCAAGCTTGAGAATGGAGCATCTGACGCCCTCTTAGCTCTCAGAGAACTGTCCGGGAACAGCCCGGGCGATTGAAATGCCTTGGGGAAGCGCTTGCAAGGACGCCTGAAAGGATGCCGCAAGCTCGAGAATGGAGCTTCGCAGCAGCTCTCAGAGAGCTTCGAAAGAGCTGCGGGAAAGGCTTCCTGGAAACGCTTTGGGAAAAAATAGGAAAACGCCTTCGGGACGAGCTGCAAGTTCGCAGGAACCGCTGCGGGGTGTCCTGCCCAGCGCTGGAAAGAGCTCTGGGGCTACCCTGCGCTGCTGGCGTATAATCTGAAATCCTCTTAGAACTCAGAGAGCTATCCGGGAATCTCCTTTCAGTTTTCCTCCTCCTCCTCCTTCTCTTGCCTCTCTTTGTCTTCCTCCTCCCCCTCCTCATTTTCCTTCCGTTGCCAAGGTCCGCCATCGAAAACTCCTCGTCCCACCCCTCTTGCTCCTCAGATGGGCTCTCCTCCTCCTCGTCCGTGCCCTCCCCGCATCCTCTTTCTCTGGTAACCCATCCGCCTGCGGAGGTCGTTAGTACGATACAGTGCCGCACGGATTCGGTAGCGCAATGGGGAAGACACTTTCCTGAATGTCTGCCCGTGTGACTGGTAATGATTATGGCTGCTAGATATTTTTGTGGAACATATTGGGCATCATATCGCAAACCCTGTAATGCCCACGTCTGGCGGGCGCTCTAGGACGGAACAGTTTTCATCGCAACGCGAGCTTATGTGGAACGTCATGTGCAAAACATCTCTATTGATGACCGTGCTCAAGAGATTAGTTCTGTACGCAATTGTAAATTCCAAGAACATTTCGGAATCGTGATGTCGGACGCCGCAGACGCGTACAAAAATAATAACGCCGATAGAAGCCGGAACTCGCGAATGTGATGCATTACTGGCGTGGACGAAAGCTCTGGAGCATCTGGCAAACATCAATACACGATCCGTCCTTTCACTTACGACAATATCTTCGCATGCGCGGCAATTTCTGCAATCTTCGCCCTCATCCGTCCGTGCTCCGTATGCGTTCCTGGATGTGTGACGTCCCATGCTGCGCGCGCTGGCAGATAACACACACCCTGTGCAAACTCGAACAGTGTCCCTCCAAGTCTGCGAGCCCGTGAGTGAGAGAATAACGCACACAAAGCAAGCATCTCGACGAGGGCTCCAGACGGCGCAGAGGATCGCCGGTGGACTGGCGCAGCCGCGCCACCTCGTACAGTATATCCATGAGGGCACGCTCTTCCACCTGAGCAAAAAAATGTCGAACGACACATGCCGCCGACAAGGTCTGCTGCTCATGTCATGCATCTGATGCCCATCAATCACTCTTCCGATTCAACGTGTCCGCGCAACTTGTAAACACAGCTCGACGATGCTGCTCTTCCCCTCCTTCACCGAACATCCCTTGGAGTATTTGTTGCCATATCCCTGGTGCTGGTCGTACCTGCGCTGCAGAAGTGCTGGTCGTTGCTTACGTCATTTTCACAAATGTATTCTCTTTGAAAACGACCTGCTACTGTTCCCTTCGTGGTTGAGCTTCCCATCTACTGTTCCCTTGTGCTCTCGTTTCCGGCATTGACTGCGAATGAGACATTCGATTTCTCACTCCTGTTGTCACTCATCCGAACTTGCATCTTCACGCCAAGGACTCAATCATACAACTAAGTGCAGCTTGAACGGCCTCGTAATTTACATCTTCATCTACATCACTCGGCTCCTTGCACTCCACGCGGAGGTACGTGTTGCCTTCCAGGAACACTTCTGGGTTGCAAACCTGGGGTGTGAATGTGAGCTCTTTCACGGAGAGCAAGCATAAGTGGGCAGAATGAGAAACTCTGCAATTTCCAGGGTTGGTGTGGCAAATGGCGAATCTGAAAACGATGTTAGGGCGGTCATGGCGAGTTCAGCAAGCAAGGGGGGTATGCGAGGGCGAGCTTCTCACCGCTAAAAGCAAGTGTGAACAAAAACGCACGTTCGGAGCACCCAAGCAACAGCGGACTTCAAGCGCTGCCCACAGTTGCCTCTATAGTGGCACCTTACCAATCGAGACCAGCATGCGTGAGCTTACAGGGTGGCTTGACTTCGCCGTTTCATACGCAACCTGAAACAACATAAGCTTTGCGCTGTCACTACGCGTGGTGCAACTATGGCCCGAACCCTCTGGGCGGATATGGTTTCGATCACGAGCTGTTCCCTGCCATTCTGGAATGGGGGTCCCCTCCCTGACAGCGTCCACGGGGGTCTGACCCATGGATGGGGGGTGCGAGCGGACGCACCTTCTTAGATTGCCCGATCTGATTTCTGTTTTGCTCTGTTTTTCCCAACCATCCTGTGGTGTTGGGTCATCGTTTTGAAAAGACCGCGCCCCGCGTTCTCCTTCTTCCTTCCTTCCTCCTCACCCTCCTCCCTGCTCTCTGCGTCTCCCCCGCCCAATACAACGTTTCGGGGCCCCATAGGGAGCTCCACTGAAGGTCCCAGTGGCGGAACTCGCATGCGGTTCCTGCGCCCAGTGCGGTACTTCGTGGCCCTATAGGGAGCTCCACCGAATGTCCGAGTGGCGGATCTTGCATGCGGTTCCTGCGCCCAGTGCGGTGCTACGTGGCCCCATAGGGAACTCGACCGAAGGTCCTAATGGCGGAACTCGCATGCGGATCCTGTGCCTAGTGCGGCGTTCTGTGACCTTGTAGGGGGCTCCACCGAAGGTCTCAGTGGCAGAACTCGCATGCGATTCCAGCGCCCAGTGCGGTGTTTCGTGGCCCCGTAGGGAGCTCCACCGAATGTCCCAGTGGCGGAACTCGCATGCGGTTCCTGCGCCCAGTGCGGTGTTACGTGGCCCCGTAGGGAGCTCCACCGAAGGTCCCACTGGCGGAATTCGCATGCGGTTCCTGCGTCCGTTGCGGTGCCTCGTGGCCCCATACGGAGCTGCACCGAAGGTCCCGGTGACGGAAGTCGCATGCGGTTCCTGCGCCCAGTACGCTGCTTCGTGGCCCCATAGGGAGCTTCACCGAAGGTCCTGGTGGCAGAACTCGCATGCGTTTTTTGCGCCCAATACAGCGTTTCGTGGCGCCATAGGGAGCTCCACCGAAGGCCCCAGCGGAACTCGCATGCAGTACCTGGGCGCAGTGCAGCGTTTCGTGGCCCCATAGGAAACTTCACAGTAAGTCCCAGAGGCGGAACTCGCATGCGGTTCCTGCGCGCAGTGCAGCGTTTCGTGGCTCCATAGCGAGCTCCACCGACGGTCTCAATGGCGGAATTCGCATGCGGTTCCTGCGCCCAGTGCGGCGCTTCGTGGCCCCACAGGGAACTCCACCGAATGCCTCAATAGCACCGCCCGCATGTGTTGCCCCCACCCAGTACAGCGTTTCGTGGCCCCATCGGGAGCTGCAACGAAGGTCCTAGTGGCGGAACTCGCATGCGGTCCCTGCGCCCAGTGCAGCGTTTCGTGGCTCCATCGGGAGCTCCACCGAAAGTCTCAGTGGCGGAGCTCGCATGCGATTTCTGCGCCCAGTGCGGTGCTTCGTGGCCTCATAGGGTGCTCCACGGAAAGTCCCGAATGTCCCAGTGGCTGAGCTCGCGTGCGTTTCCCCCACCCAGTACAGGGGTTCGTTGCCCCATAGGGAGCTGCAACGAAGGTCCTAATGGCGGAACTCGCATGCGGTCCCTGCGCCCAGTGCAGCGTTTCGTGGCTCCATCGGGAGCTCCACCGAAAGTCCCAGTGGCGGAGCTCGCATGCGGTTCCTGCGCCCAGTGCGGTGTTTCGTGGCCCCGTAGGGAGCTCCACCGAATGTGCCAGTGGCTGAACTCGCATGCGTTTCCCCACCCAGTACATCGCTTCGTGGCCCCATAGAGAACTCCACCGAAGGCCCGAGTGGCGGCCCTGCCTCACATCGGCACACCTTTCGCATGCTTCATTTCCCCATGCGGAGATCCCCCGACGGCGGTACCCGAAACGACGGTACTCACAACTGCATATGGTTGGGTCTTTCGCCAGGATGAATTTTTGTTTGAGGGGTCGTAAAGAAGACGGGAGCGGACCGCATGCTTCAAAAGCCAGCGTCGTTGAAATGCGAATGCCGTCACGCACCTGAAGCTAAATTGAAACTGGTACTGATGAGGCCAAGTACGCAATGCATAAAGAAACTGGTCGCATCTGAAAGCCATTTTCTTCCGCACCCGGCGCGTGGGACAGACACTCAAAACGAGGAGGGAGATGATGGTCAGGAGGAGGAGATGCAGGAGGAGGAGGGGGCGAGCATAGCAAAGCCTTCTGTGTCATCGCCAGCCGATTCCGGCGAATCAGGGCGACGCTCTGACAGGGTTATTCATCCCAAGGTATCCATCTATGGCTCCGATATTGTCCACCGCGGTTCTACAACGACTGCAACAGCCCCGAGGAGGCCACGCGACGGCTCGCGGTGTCCACGGAACTTCCCACGGATGCCCTCAAGAGGCCTCAACCGCCAACCGACATACGTTTTGAAGTGAGTGTTGCCGTTTGACCATTTCGCTTACGATGGACCTCCGAGGCCTCAAGCTGGCCTCAAAGTCTCCCTATAGGCCCCCGGGAGTACCCCAAGAGGCGCCCAAGAGGCAAAGGGAGCTCCAAGAGGGCTCCCTCAAACATCGAAAGATCTCAAGATGGCTCAAGGAGGCGTCCAAGGGGCCCCCACATATTCCCACGTTGGCCATTGTCGGGGGCCACTCGGGATTTTTTTCAAGGATGCTCCCCCACTACCTTTCCCATGACAGCTCGCCTATGAGTTGTTTTTGGATGTGCTGTTGGGCGTACCAGAGCTGTTCTCACTTACATTCCCCTGGGAAAGCACAGCACGTGTGGTGAGAGCGACTGCTGCAACACTTTGGTTGAGTGTGCTGGAATTTCTTGTCTATGAGAAGCGGAACCGCAGTGTAACATCCAACCGCAACTCTCATCCCTGTCAAAAAGTACCACACATGCATGCCTTCACAAACACATTCGGACGCATGACCGTGTTACAGCCAATCGAGGGGCACCGCTTGCAAGGACACATCGAGCAACATGCACAGCATATCGACGTACCATGATGCTGATCATGGGGAGGGCAGAGGACTTGCAAGGCGAACGACACGAGCACGAAAACTATGGCATCGTGTCACAATGTAGGCCTCAGGGCAACATACGTGACCAACATCACGATAAACGAAATAGTCTATCGTGATGTCAGGCGTCGCGCAGGCACGCACTTGCAGAACGGGGATACCAGGCATCAACATACCATTGACACATAAACACGCCTACATCTTTCAATACATGCATACATGCATACATACATACATCCATACACATCGATATACATATATGTTTATACATGTGTGTATACGTGGAATCGTATCCAAAACTAGGCAATGGTATTCGCCAGCCCATCGGGCTAGGGAATTCGAGGCAAAATCTGCCCATGCGCGTCCCAAGGGCGGGATCACTGTGTCAGCCTTTTCTGGGTCACAGTTCGCCTCACACGCCGACCTAATACTGCCCTCGGAGGGCCGAAGCTGGCTCCAAGATGGCCTCAAGAGGTCCCAGGACGCGTTCAAGGCATTCGAATCATTGGCTTTCAAAGCTGCCCGAGAAGGCCAAAGTAGCTCCCTTCGGAGGTCAAAAGATGTAATAATCATAGAACGGTCATTTTTCATCAAGATCTGCTTTTCTTGCTTTCTCAAGCCTCAAGATATTTCTCAGGCGCGAAGGTGGACCCAAGAGGGCTCCAGCTGGCCCCAGGCCACCAAGAGGCATCCCAAGGAGCCCATGGGACCCCAGGAGGCCACACACATATCTACATTGCCTCGAGCACTGGTTCCACACAGCTGTATGGATAATGCCCCAGTGGGACATTCGTCCACTATTTTTCAGCAGCAACTTGTCCCCGATACATGCCTGAAGCGACACTGGGGTCAAAACTGGCTTCAAGCGACGCTGGGGGCAAAAGGAATTCGCAAAATATTGCAACAAGCTGGTGTAGGAGGGAGACACAAGGAAAGAAAGAGAACGGGACAGTGAGAGAGAGAGAGAGAGAGAGAGAGAGCGCGAGTCTGAGGGCAAATCGTGATGCTGGAAGCGACTGTGCAATGTGTTTCGGACTGCGTGTGTCCTACCGCCAATGGGCTAGATACCATGAACAAGCTGCGCAAAGAAAAACAAAAAACTCGCCTTGGTTATGGTCACGGGGCTGCACACGCTGTGCGTGCACGTGTACCGGAATTTGGAGCCCGGCGGTGGTTCTCGCACCTGGCGACGGGGTGCAGCCATGCCATCTTGCGCTCACTCAATGTCTTTCTCGCGCGTGACCACATTCTGACCTTTTCGCGATGCTGTCGTTCGTCGGAGAACAGCTCACGCTCTACTGTCAGTCGGACCTCGATGCGTGGCTTTGCTGCCAGAAGCTATACATCTATTTGCTATTAATGCACGTTCCGCTCTTGCCACAGCTATTCAATGCATGCACATCTGCATTTCGGGATCAATTTGCCTGTCCGCTGGCTTCTGGGAGCGGCGAAAACATGGATGCTGCGTTCTCCTCGCTGCTTTCTGGCGTCTGTGTTGCCTCATCGTGTTCTGCATGGCCAGACTCCTGCAGCACCTGACTCCAGCGCAGTGCCTCCTGTGCCGATCGGAGGCAGTGAGCCCGTCTTCTCACCAGCAGCTGCTCGACCTCAGCTCTTTTGTCCCGCTGCAGGTGGGCTGGTCGACGCCAGGAGATGACAAGTCCTCCCCCGGTCAGGAAGACGCCCACACTTCCTTCCCCCACCTTTCGCGGACGTTCGGGGGCCCGGTGCTTCGAGGACCCGAGTTGTGACCGCGTTCGAGCCCACAGACGTTGCTTTCTCGCCAAAAATTAGAATGCCGAGGCCCGTGTTGAAGAAGCACACGGCGTAGAAGTTGCCAAGGGGCGACCCCCCATTCAGGCGCGAAGCGCTCGCAGGTTTTCTCAGAAGACGGCGTCGCTTAGGGCAGAGCCCCCCCTTCCATCTCCGCCACATCCTCCTCGTCCTCGCCCCCGCCCTCCTCGCCCTCCTCTGCATTCTCCTCTCGTGGCGCCCTCCTCCCGCTCCTCTGCCTGCCTCCTCCTCCTCCTCGGCCTCCTGTACCTCCTCTTCGCCCCCTCTACCTTTCCTGCTGCTCACTCACGCTCAAGCAGTCGCTGTCGCAAGAACGTATGCCCTCCATAGGGCGACGAAATCTATACATGTCCACTGCTCCCAGGCCAGGCCCATCCTCAACCCCGCAGCGGTGTATACGCCACGCCCTCCTGGCTTGGCCAGGAGGGCGCATACACAGCTCCTGGGTTCAAGATGGGCATGGTCAGGGAGCAGTGGACATGTATAGATTTCGTCGCCCGCCCTCCTGCTCCCTGGTCCTCATCTCTTCCACCGGCCGAGGGTGCGCCGGCCTCATCGAGGTGCAGCACCACTGCGGCCTCTGCGAGCTCCACCCCACGGGAAGGCGGCGACCCCTGAGGACCCGCTGCCGTGCACAGAGGGAGACAGAACATGGTGCTGAAGGTCGGGAGCGAACTTAGGGGGAACACAAACCTACCTCGCTTTTGACCACCCTCGCTTCCAAGAGATACCAAACGATGCCAAATTGCAGCCTGTACTGGTCAGGCCGCTTGACGAGGAGGCGCGTGGTACGGCTTGGTTTTGCGTGGAAGCGAAAGCGGGGTAGGTTTTTCACGCTCTGAGAACTACCTTGTCCTCTTGCATGGCCCTGGCCGGATTCCCAGACTCTCCATACATCTGACGTTCTGATCTTCCGTGGCGCGAGCGCCCCAGGCCTCTCGTCCCCGTGCCGATGACAGGAATTTCGACACGTGCGGGTCTTCGACGACCTCGAGCTCCGCAGCGGGCCCCCAGCGGGCCCCCGAGAGGCCCAAACGGAACTAGAAGACTGCCGTCTCGACAACGTCTTGACGACGGACGTGCGCGACGACCTCGAACTCCGGAGCGGGCCTCCAGCGGGCCCCCAGATGATGGGCGTGTTTTCCACCACCACCACCACCAGAAGTTGGAGGGGGGAAGGAGGAGGACGAGGAGAAAGAGGACGAAGAGAGAAGAGGAGGAGGAGGAAGGAGGAGGAGGAGGAGGAGGAGGAGGAGGAGGAGGAGGAGGAGGAGGAGGAGGAGGAGGAGGAGGAGGAGGAGGAGGAGGAGGAGGAGGAGGACCCTTATGGTGGTGGTGGTGGAAGACAAGCCTATCACCAGAGGCCCGAACTGAACGAAAAGACTGCCGTCTCGACTACATCTTGACGCTGGCTGGACGTGTGGGCCGTTCCTCCCTGAGTATCGTTTAGCCAATCCTCATCCCCAGCGGCGCGGCCTGGGCCCCGCTGGCCGATTTAACCCCTGGATGGGGATATAGGTCGTTCTCTTCGGGTTTCGAGGGGTGCATCCAACTGGGGTGGTAATTTGGTGGGGGCCTCGAAGGGGATGGAGATGGGGATGGGGATCGGTTAAACGATACCGACTCCCCCCTCAGAAAAATCGGCCCCGAGGTCTCTCTTGGGGAGCGGTCTGGCCAGAGATGCTCGGGCCGAAGCTGGCGCCGGGACGGCGAGAGGCCTCTCCCGGAGCCCCCACCTCACTTCTCGCAAGGCGCGACGGACCTCCCGAACGTGGACCTCGTCCTGTCGTGTCGGACGGTGGGGGAAGGAGGAGGAGGAGGAGGGAGGAGGGAGGAGGGGGGGAGGAGGAGGAGGAGGAGGAGGGAGGAGGGAGGAGGGAGGAGGAGGAGGAGGAGGAGGAGGAGGAGAGGAGGAGGAGGAGGAGGAGGAGGAGGAGGAGGAGGAGGAGGAGGAGGAGGAGGAGAGGAGGAGGAGGAGGAGGAGGAGAGGAGGAGGAGGAGGAGGAGGAGGAGGAGAGGAGGAGGAGGAGGAGGAGGAGAGGCGGAGGCGGAGGAGGAGGAGGAGAGGAGGAGGAGGAGGAGGACGAGGAGGAGAAGGAGGAGGAGGAGGGAGGAGGAGGAGGAGGAGGAGGAGGATGAGGAGGAGGAGGAGGAGGGAGAAGAAGGAGGAGGAGGAGGGAGACACCATATTTCGAGTAGTAGATCGACTGCGTAATGAATTTGCAGCCAGACCGTATAATAAGGATGCGCGATAAGGATGCAAGGGCCTCGGGAGGCCATGCTGACACTCTGCCAGCGGGGCGCGGCCAGCGACAGCGGGCAAGGATGGACCGAGGAGGCAAGGATGCAGGGGTACCCTTGGAAAGGTTGCCCATCCTTACCATGCGGGTGAACTGTAGGGGGAGGCCACCATATTTCGAGTAGCAGATCGACCACATAATGAATTTACCCGACAGTCGTTTTTTCCGACGAATCTACAAACATGCGCAGAAGGTTCGGAGATCTGCGCGTGTTCTGCGCGTTTTTGTTGCACCGATTTTGCAGTCGATCCCCTACGCGAATACGCGGGGGCTCGCGAAGCAGCTCATGCCGCTGGCTCTCCCAGCGCCCCCCCCCCCGTGCCAGGAGGCGCCAGTGTGCAGGGAGGCGCCCGGCGGCGAGGGCCGCACCCGGCCGAGTGCGGCAGCCTTCGCCGCCCCCTCCCCCTCGCCTCCCTCGGCCTTCGGGTCGGGGTCCTCTCGGTGCCTCCGGCGATCGCCGGAGGCGCTGGGAGGTCCTCTCGCTTTTGCTCCAGCCTTGGCCGCCTCCTCTGCTGCGCGCCCATGTGGGCCAGCGGATGGGGAGAACCCAATTGCACTCGCCTGCGTGGGGGAACAGGCGGAGGCGTTCCTACCTCCCCTCTTGGTCTTCGTTCGACCCGATCCTGGTCCTTGACCCTCTCGTAGCAAGTAGACGAACCACCTCCTCATAATAAGCGCCCCGAAAAGCGAAGCAATCAGTTAACACACACACTCAAGGGAGCAATCGAACAGGGCAGGACTGAACGCCCAGGACTGCCAAGTAAACGCCAGTGATGGTGGCCGGGATGCTTCTGCCTCCCTGACATCCCCCGCCAGGAGACGGTGTGCCGTCCCCAGACATCCGAATCTGTGATTCTTCCAGTGGGGGGCCCCAGAAGTCCCGACTACTTCCCCGGTGACAATTTTCGTCCTGTATTCGTTTTCGATGGCCCCGGGGGCCCGATAAGGGGCCCCAGAGGCCGAAATCCAGGAAACACACCGGAATTGAAAACATCAGATCGTCGGATACTTGGTGACGCCAGAAGATCCAGGATCTCTAGGATCTCCAGGCCCATCTCGAACATCCAGGATGTCCTGGAGCGGCAAGGGGATCCAGGAACCAGGATTTCATACCTTCTCCCCCAGCGCGGTTGGAAGGAGGCTGATGGGGGGGAAGAGGAGAAGGATGATGAGGAGGAGGAGGAGGAGGAGGAGGAGGAGGAGGGGAGGAGGAGGGAGGAGGAGGAGGAGGAGGAGGGAGGAGCAGGAGGGGAAGGAGGAGGAGGAGGAGGAGGGAGGATGAGGAGGAGAGGAGGAGGAGGAGGAGGAGGATGAGGGAGGAGAAGGGGAACAGGAGGAGGAGGAGGAGAGAAGGAGAGAGGAGGAGGAGGAGTGCAGGAGGAGGAGGAGGAGGAGGAGGAGGAGGAGGAGGAGGAGGAGGAGGAGGAGGAGCAGGAGGAGGAGGAGGAGGAGGAGGAGGAGAGGAGGAGGAGGAGGAGGAGGAAGAGGAGGAGGAGGAAGAGGGAGGAGAGGAGGAGGAGGAGAGGAGGAAGGAGGAGGAGGAGGGAGGAGGAGGAGGAGGAGGAGGAGGAGGAATAATGGAGGAGGAGAGGAGGAGGAGGAGGAGGGAGAGGATGAGGAGGAGGAGGAGGAGGAGGAGGAGGAGGAGGAGGGGAGGAGGAGGAGGGAGGAGGAGGAGGAGAGGAGGAGGAGGAAGGAGAGGAGGAGAGGAGGAGGAGGAGGAACAATGGGGGAGGACGAGGGGGGACTACATGCCAAGATCCAAGATCGGGCTGTGGCCGGTCCTGTGAAAAGAGCTGTGAGGCCCTGGGGGTCACGTATTGAACAACATCCCGCGCGTCGGAAGGCCGTGCTCCTGCTTCCCCCCGGCTCCTCCCTCCCCCCCCCACTCTCCTCCCATCCTTTCTCCCTCCCCCCCCACCTCCTTCCACCCCCTCCCTCCCTCCCTCCCTCCCCCCCTCTCCTTCCCCCCTCGCGCGTAGCCGATGTTAGGCAGTCGCTCGCAAGCAGGCCACCTCACAAGAAATTCTGCTATGGATGACTCCATCGGAGGCTCCTAAGGCGTTGCACGCCTCAGAGTGCAGTGAGCTGCTCGACCCTATGAGAGCGAGCTGCTGGATCTTTCTCCCTTCCCGCCCCCCTTCCTCCCCCTCCTCCGCGAAATTTGGATGTCTTTGGCCCTTCCCCGGCTTCCATAAGCCCGTGGAGGCTTCCTGGAACTTCCAGAAGCATCTGGAGGCCTCCGCCAGATATCTTGCGACTTCTGCGGACCTGGGGAGACCTCCAGAGGCTTCCTTCTCCTGTGTTTCCCTCTGCTCTGCCTTTTCCTACTGACTCCTGCGCTCTAGCTCCATGTCCAGCTTCTACCACTACCCTGGCATGTTGACACTATCAGCCAGGACTGGCACAGAGTTGACACCAAATAATCCAAACTTTTGCACTGCTTAAGGGTGCCAGCCACAACAAGTCCAGGCCAGGCCAGACTCAGCATTATGGCCACGACCCTGTGGACTACAACTTACCAGGTCAACATTCACATCCTTTGCCAAGTCCGACAGACCAGCAAGAACTCAGCGAAGCATGTTCTCTCACATGGCATGTGGGCATCGTCAAGGATCGAAATGTGAAGGCGAAACGTTGGGGCGCCAACGGCGTCATATCGCAGCACAGCCCGCACACGAGCCAAGGCAGATCCTTCGCACGCTTTCCGCAAGTTTGAGTGGCAGAGGGGGAGGCGAGAGCAACACATATATGAAGACTGCTCTCCACAAGCCCCTCGCGTGAAATCAGGTACCCTCTTCTGTGCACGCAAGAGTGACCGTGGGCAAGAGTGACCCTTGGTTCGCGGCTGTAGGGTGGTCAAGCCCAAGCGCGCAATCTGTTGTTAGGACATCGCGTTCAACGATCGGGGGATCCCACGTGCGCCCGCACCGAAAGGTCATTTTGGCGAAGGGTCACCCTTAAGTGTAGTCGACTCCCTCCCTCTGGTTTTCTGGTCAGATATGATTCGGGTCTCAAGTGGCCGTTCGCGACGATTCGAGCACCCCCAGAACGCTCTCGGCGAGCCGCAGCTGCTGGAGCGCATCCCATGGCATGATCACTCCGGGAACCGACGAACACGTCCCGTGTGCCCGCGCCAAAGGTCACTCCAGCGAAGGGCCAATCTTACGTGTAGTCGTCACCCCGCCCCCTCCCAAGCGAATCTGGTCTTCGGTATCACGAAGCGCCTCTGCCCGGACTGCAGCAGGTCGTCGACCATCTCCCGCCCCCCGCACTCCTTCTCTACGGGCCACATGCGAACCCTACCCCTACGCCCCATGATTTCTGAGGGGGAGGGTGGGGTTTACTTCGTCCGGGAGCTCCCGAGCGAAGTGACCCCCCCCCCTCCCCCCAGAAATCGTGGGGCGCAGGGGTAGGGTTCGCATGTGGCCCCCTATTCTCACGTCCACAGAAACGCCTCAACAACCAACAGATGGGGGCAAGCGACCAGCCGAAATCCGTCCACATGCCCTTCCCTGGCGGCACGGCGGGCGTTCTTTTTCAAGCGAGCTCCGCGTGTGGGGCAGCGGGGGGCCTCTCTCGGCGGCCTCCCGCTCGCAAGAGATCCGACGCTAGTGCTAGGTGGGGCATGTCCCCCATACAGGCGGATTTTGGACGAACATGAAACAACACGCAACACATGCTCCAAGGTAGTCAAACATAGTCAAGAAAGCGTCCCCAGACTATTTTTTTGACTATTTTTGAATTCCCTCCTGCAGAGGGACACGCCCGACTTCACGCTTGTACTGCAGTCTGCTTCGGCAGCACCCGCGCGAGGCAGGAGACGGTTGGAAGCGGCGAGGGTAAACGCAGAACGCAATGAGAGCAGACGTGGCAACATCAGCACCCCACATAAGCAGTAGCAGTGGTGGTGGCAGCAGAAGCGATGACGACGGCAGCACGAGGAGGACGAGGGGGCTAAAGAAGGAGGGGGCGGGATGATGGGGGCTGCCCAGGATACGGGGGCGGGGCCACATGGTGCAGTGCGGCCAATCGATCAGACAGAAGAGAGTGCCAGGCAAGCTGGCCTGATGGTATTTGTTGGGCAGGGCAGAATCGCGATCGGCCTCCTCCTCCTCCTCGTCCGCCTCCTCGTCCGCCTCCTCGTCGCCCTCCTCCACCTCCTCCTCCTCCTCCTCGTCGTCCTCCTCCTCCTCGCCCTCCTCCTCGTCCCGCTGCTGCTGCTGCTGCTGCTCCTCCTCCTCCTCCTCCTCCTCCTCCGCCTCCGCCTCCGCCTCCGCCTCCTCCTCCTCCTCCTGCTCCTCCTCCTTCTCATCCTCCCCCTCCCTCCCCGAAGGTCGCTTGTGGGCCCTGACCTCTGGAGACTACAGGAAGCCTCCAGAGGCCCCCCCAAAGAGCTCGAGGCGTCCCAAAAACTTCCACCCTCCTCGATCCTCGATCCTCGATCCTCGATGCTCGATCCTCGATGCTCGATGCTCGTCTTCCCTGGCTGGGGCTGCGGTGTTTTTTCGCCACCGGGTGGGGCGGGCCAGACCTGCTTTTGTGTAGAGTCCTGTCTTCGGGGGCACCTGGACGGCGCTGCGGTTCTGGATGGGCCCCCCACGCCGAATCGATTCGATCCTCGTCCTCCCGGTCCTCCTCCTGGGTCTTCTCCTGCCCCTCCGCCTCCGCCTCTTCCTCCTGCTCCTCCTCGCTCGGGCGGGAGGGCGGGATCCACTCCGAGGGGGGGGGGCGGCGGGCATGCGCAGCGGGCCATTTGCTTGTAGCTTTTTTGTTTCACCGCCAACCCCTCCCTCCCGGGGAGAAGTCCGAGGCCATTTGCTTGTAGCTTTTTTGTTTCACCGCCAACCCCTTTCCATCCCGAAATCCCCCCATTCCCCCCCATTCCCCCCCATCCCTCCCATCGATGTTCTCATCCCCCCATTCCCCCCCATCCCTCCCACGTCTCCCTTCATGCCTCTTTTCTTTTCTGTTCCCTCCCCACCGCCACCCCCCCCATCCTGGCATGCTGTCCGCGGTGAAAGCCCAATGCCCTCCCCCCCACCCTCCTGTCCTCCGCGGCCGCTTGCCCCCCCCCCCCCCCACACCCCCCCGCGCGCTCCTCCTCTTGCTTGCAGCCAGACAAGTAGCTTGCCGAGCGCCCCCGGCAACTCGAGCGCCCGTGCGGATTGTCTCTGCCGTGCCGCGACGAAAGCCAAAAGATCCCTCCCCCCATCCCCCGAATCTCGGCGTTTCTGGAGTCCCGAAACGGTGCTGTAACAGACCGTGCGGTGACCTTGAAATCCCCCAAGACCTCACCGCACGGTCCGTTAACGCACGCATTTGGGACCTCGGATGTCCCAGTCGCCCGAAAGGTCCTCGGAGAACGACCCGAGCCCCAAAACCGTGCGGTGACCCCCAAGCCCCACCGACTCACCACACGGTGTGGTCACCACCCCGCTTGGGGGCCCCCAGGCGTTTCCCTGAAATGTCGGCCTCCTGGGGCCCTCTGTCGGGCGTCGGGGGCACCAGGACCGGATGCGGGGGCAGGAGGAGAAGGAGGAGGAGGAGGAGGAGGAGGCGGAGGAGGAGGAGGAGGAGGAGGAGGACAAGCTAGGTGCGCTCGCGTCATATCTGACATCCTACCCCTCCCTCCCATCCCTTAGCATGGCGTAGATCCCTTCTCTACTCGCACAGTCGGATGTCGAGCAGGGCAATGATCCCGAAATGGTACGCGATGCATTGTAGAGCACGGCATGGCATGGCGTAGAATAACACCGCAAAGCGTAGTATGTCACAGCATGGCGTGTCGTGGCGTAGTGAAGCATTGCATCACAAAGCTTTGCAACGCAAAGCATGGTATCGCACAGCGGCCCCGAACATAACATTGCATAGCATGGCGTTGAAGATCAAAGCGTAGAATGGCATAGCACGACGTGGCACTTAAGCACTGCATATCACAGCTTCAGCTGAAGGCATGGCATCGCGCAACGGAACGCAACCTAGCATTGCATTGCATGCCGTGGCATGGCACGGGAAATGACGCCAGCGCTGCAGCGGGAGCACGATTCGGAACGAGCGGAAGCGCGGAAATGAGGCCAGCGCTGCAGCGGGAGCACGATTCGGAACGAGCGGAAGCACGGAAATGAGGCCAGCGCTGCAGCGGGAGCACGATTCGGAACGAGCGGGGCCCGAAAATGAGGCCGGCGCCTCAGCGAGAGCAGCATTTTGAAAAAATGCAGGCGAAAACCCAACTCCGGGGAATCCTGTGTGTAAAAACAATACGCGGGGGGGGGGGGCGAACACTCCCAACCCGTCATCAGGGGAAGGAGGAGAGTAGTATTCATATTGAGTAATTGTGGAGGAGGGGAGGTGGAGGAGGGAGGAGGAGGAGGAGGAGGAGGAGGAGGAGGAGGAGGAGAGAGGAGAGGAGGAGGAGGAGGAGGAGGAGGAGGAGGAGGATGAGGGATGTGATGATGATGATGATGATGATGATGATGATGATGATGATGATGATGATGACGATGATGATGAGATGATGATGATGAGGAGGAGGAGGAGGAGGAGGAGGAGGAGGAGGAGGAGGAGGAGGAGGAGGAGGAGGAGGAGGAGGAGCAGGAGGAGGAGGAGGAGGAGGAGGCGGAGGAGGAGGCGGGAATGCTGCAGGCCTGGGAGAAAACAGTCGGGATCTCTCTGGGGCCGCGGGCGGAGGAGCGGGAGTCCCGCCGTCGGCTGCCTGGGCCCGTGCAGGACGAAGGCCTCGGGCGCGCGCGGCTTGCCGAGATCGCTGGCGTGGGCGCGGTCGGCCCAGGGGCCCGGACAGAGGGGCGCAGAAGCGCGAGGCACGGCGGCGCTCTCAGAAGCCTGGCTGGGCCTCGGGCAGCTGCGGTGCTGAAGGTATCGATCGTGATGCACCGTACAAAGGGCTGCGCTGTGCTGGGCCGAGCGCTGTGCTGGGCCGAGATGTGTCATGCCACGATGAACCGCGCCTTTGCCCTGCAGCGTGGTGGACCACTTCGTCCTCACCGTCCGAGCCCCGACCGAACCGATCTGGACCCAAAGCTCGAGCTGCCTGAACGCACAGCTCGCCCAGAGCTCGGTGCAATCGAAACCTGCGGTGCGCTCAACCGGTCTGAGCTCATGATCCGATTCAGCTCCGAAGCGGGCCGAGCCAAGAAGTGGCGAATCCGAACCGAAGCGAAACGCACCGACAATGAACGGACCGAGACGCGACGATCCAAGACGCGACGAATGAGACAGGACGAACCGACACAATACGAACCGAGCCAAGCAGAATTGGGGCAAAAAAAATCAAAATGGGGACGAGCCGAATACGTTTCTGTCCACCCTCCTGAAACCACATTGCGTCTCCTGCCGAGGGTGCCTAGCTACGAGGTGCAAGAACACCTCGTAAATCACCAGGGGGTTCTCCTCCACATGTTACTCGTTCCCCTCGTCCTCCAACGTCGCCTCGGCGCCATGCCTGTCGCAACCTTGCCTCTCCCGGGCCGCTCCCTCCTTGATGTACCTCTTCTCGCACACGTTGATGGTCCTCTCCGTGCCTCCAGCGGACGGTGCACATCCCCAGTGAATCGCGCGGACAACCGAGAGGATCCCCCTTCTTCTTCCTCTCCTCCTCCTCCCCTGGCTGCTGCTGCTCTTTCTATTCCTCTCTTCCTGATCACGTCCTCCTCCTCCTCCTCCTCCTCCTCCTCCTCCTCGCCTCCTCCTCCTCCTCCTCTCCTCCCTCCTCCTCCTCCTCCTCCTCCTCCTCCTCCAGCTCCTCCTCCTCCTCCTCCTCCTCCTTCTCCTCTTCCAGCTCCCCCTCCTCGTGGTCCCCTCCTGATCCCCTCCTCGTCCTCCCCCCCCCCTCCTCCGCCGACTCCGGTGCGCTTCCCCGAACTCTTAGGCCTCCCAGGGAGGGGGGGCCGCCGCAGGGCCCCCGGGGGCCCCAGCAGAGAGACAGCTGCTCCCCGGGAGGGCGCCGCGGAGCGTGCAGCAACCTTTCGGTCGGGCGTGTTCCCCTACAGGCGGCTTTTGGGCGAAGGATCAAAAAACTAGCCCCAAAAAATGTACTCGAGCCTGGTCCAACAGAAGTGCTCGAAGCATCATCCCCAGACTATTTTTGTGACCAGTTGGGAACATCCCCCCTGCAGAGGGACATGCCCGACTTGCAGCAACCTGCGCCCCTCGAGCACCCTCCGGGGCCCCCGGCCTGCGGCTTGGGGGCTGCCCCTGGGGCCATCTGGGGGGCCGCTCTTCTGGGCACCCACTCGAGGAAGACGCGGCCAGGACGAGGATACCATCGGGTGAGGAGAAATCGGGTGAGGATCACTTCGGGTCAGGAGAAATCTCCTCCTCCTCCTCCTCCTCCTCCTCCTCCTCCTCTCTTGGGTCGGGGTCGGGGACCCACTGATAAGACGAAGCCAGAACGAGGATACCATCGGGTGAGGAGAAATCGAGAATCTCTGAGACCCCGCGGCTCTGGAGGATGCCTCGGGCTCCGCGGCCTTCTCAGAGCCTCGAGGAGCGCTCCGGGAGCGTTCCGGAACGCTCTGGAACGGATTTCTCCTCGTCCTGGCCCCGTCCGATGAAAGCCCTCCCTTGCTGCCGCGCGCCCAACTTCGGGTGCCAAGGCCGCCAAGCTCCCGGCAGCGGTGGAGCTTCCGCCGAGGGCGAGATATCGTAGCCTCCCTGCGTTGCTCTCGAGGGCACGGCGCTTCTGGCCGCGCGCCCTCTCGGCCTCTCTCGCCTCTCGCCCCCCAGGCCGAAAACAAAAATCAGAAGAATGCATCGAAAACCTGTTTTCTGGATCTTAGGACGTCGTCGCCTTCGACGAACGAGGCCCGATGTCTTGGTCCCGCTCTGCCCAGGCATCCGTTTTTTCTGTTTTTCGTTCGAGGCGTGGGCCCTCGGGACCTCTCGACCCAGGGCCAGTCTTTCATCCCGAGCTGTTTCTCGACGATCCCGACGCCGTAAACCAGCCTCCAGAGGCCACAAATGGCGACAGGACGGCCGCCCTGATTTTGTCGAGGCGCCAGATGTCTAGGGCGAGCAGCATTCCTAGACATCTGACGCCGTACCTTCTCGCAACATGGCTCCCACAAAGCTGCACCCCACGGCACCGCCGCGTTCGAGCTCTAGGCGGGACGCGCCGGCCCCCTCCCGAAGGCCACGCAGTCTCTGAGGGTCGCGAGGGGTCTGAGTGCAATGGGGGCGAACATCAGGAGAAGGAGGAGGAGGAGGAGGAGGAGGAGGAGGAGGAGGAGGAGGAGGAGGAGGAGGAGGAGGAGGAGGGAGGTTGTAGTTTGCGTTCTCTTCCCCCCCATCATTGGAGGGAAGAAAGGAGGAGCAGGAGGAGGGAGGGAGGGGAGGAGGGAGGAGGAGTGAGGAGGAGGAGGTGTGAGAGTATGAGGAGGAGGAGGAGGAGGGTAGGAGGAGGGGAGGAGGAGGAGGAGGAGGAGGGGGAGGAGGAGGAGGGGAGGAGGAGGAGGGTGGAAGGAGGAGGAGTGCGTCTATTCCCTCCATCAGTTGAGGAGGAGGGAGGAGCTGGAGGAGGAGGGAAGGAGGAGGGAGGAGGGGTGGAGGAGTGAGAGGAGGAGGAGGAGGAGGAGGAGGAGGAGGAGTGCGCCACTCCGTCCCTCCCGTCTTGCGTCACCTTTCGCCCATCAGACATCCGACGTCTTCTTTCCCTCGCCACGTGGCTCCTCGGAGAGCTGGACCGCTTTTCGGAGGCCAGCTCTGCATCCTGGGCTGCTGTTTTCCTGACCGCCCACGGGCCGAATATCTTATCAAGAGCCGGCCGTCGTGTTTGTCCACGGCGCGAGCATGTCAGGGTCCCCCTGCCCCTCACGTCCTGTCAAGGAGGACTAGGAGGAGGAAGAGGAGGAGGATGAGGAAGAGGAGGAGGAGGAGGAGGAGGAGGAAGATGAGGAGGGAGGCAACATTCCGACGAACATCCGTGCCACCAAGTGCTGCGAATGTCCTCTCCACCGAAACCCTCCCCTGCAATGCCGCGCCCACCCCCACCCCATCGATTGCTCCGCTCTCCTCCCCTGTCTTCCCCCGCACACCCCGCCAGACCGCTGTCCCCCCCAAACATCCAACATCGCGCTTTTGTCAATGCGGGGTCCCGTGAACTGTCGAACTTTCCCGCCATCCTCGCGTCGTGAAATCCATGACGACGAGCCGCTCTGACAATGATCGGCCTCTGGGTGCCCGTGCCAGGTCCTGGAACTGTCAAAAAAAACCCACAGGATGAGAAACTTGTCCCCTGGAAGGCGTCCAGACCTCTGGGGAGCCACGTGGCGAAACAACACGTTGGATGTCTGGGTCTCCCCATGGTCCTGTCTGCCATGTTGGGCCGTTTCTCGGCGGCCCTGGGGCCAAGGCGGGGGCCCCCAGAGGCCGAAGAGCAGCGAAACGCTTCGGGCTTGCTTGCTGTTGAAGACGTTGGATGTCTGGGCCCCTGCCCTAGGAAACAACTCCTGGGAGGTCGTCGTAAGAGCGAGTGACAGCTATCCACTGCGATTGAGGGGCCACTGGGACGAGTTAAGGGCCGGACCAAGCCTGGGACTGGGGCCCGCTCTCGACCACGGACACACTTCCCGGCGCCGATGCTGAAGTCAAGGTGCCAGCGTTCCAGTGATGGCATCCTGCCCTGCCCTGCCCTCCCCTGCCCCCGCCCAGGGAGGCCCCGTCGGCGCAGCCCAGCCAGGGCTCGGTCGGGCTCGCGCCAGCGAGCGGTGAAAGAAGGCCTGCGGGCCTCCTGCTCCTCCTCCTCCTCCTCCTCCTCCTCCTCCTCCTCCTCCTCCTCCTCCTCCTCCTCGCTCCTCGCTCCTCGCTCCTCGCCCCCTCCTCGAGTGGCGGGCCCTCCCCCGGTGGGGGGGGCGCGCGCGCCCCGCGCCTGGCAGAGCTGCCCGCGCCAGGGGCAGCGGGAAGCAGGGGAGCACCTGGTGCCCCTCGGCGACGGCGCCCTCGGCTGGCCTCCCCGCGCGCCCCGTGCCGCGCTGCCGCTCTGAGGCGCTCGCTCCGGGGGCGCCTGCCCACCACGGGGCCCCGCTCTCCGAGTTTTTGTTTTGGCTGTTGTTGCTGCTGCTTTTGTTTTTGTTATTGTTTTTGTTATTGTTTTTGTGGTTGCTGTTGCTGTTGCTGTTGCTGTTGCTGTTGTTGTTGTTGTTGTTGTTGTTGTTGTTGTTGTTGTTGTTGTTGTTGTTGTTGTTGCTGTTGGACTCTCAGTTCGGAAGAATTATTATTGTTGATCCCCCCGTCCGGTGCACAGTGTTTTTTTCGATTGAAGTGCCCTTCCCGGGGCTCGCACCCTGTTTTTTATCAGGAAAGTCTTGAGGGTCAAACTGTGTTGTTGGCCCCCGGTTTACAACAACAACGGCTCCCGCCGGATACTTCCTCACAATTTAATGAAGAATCGCGCTCTCTCTTGGGACTTCCTTGCAATTTACCACCGGATCGCAGCTCCCACTTGATACTTCCTCACAATTTATTGAAGAATCGTGCTCTCTCTTGGGACTTCCGCGCAATTTATTCAGATGCCGCTCCTCGACACTCAGGAATGGCGCTCCCGCTACATGTTGCCTGGCGGCTCAAACAAAATTTACGCTTCAACGACCCGCCCGCTCGACCCGCCCGTCTGGGCCTGCCCGGCCGACCAACCCGTTAGGGACTGCAGTCGCCGCTCGCTGCCCTTCGCTGCCTTCGATGCCCCTCGCTGCCCGTACTGGTTCCGCGGACGCCTTCGCTCGCTGCCCTTCGTGGCCCTGTTGCTGCCCTCAATTGGCCCCGTCGCTGCCCATTGTGGCCCCGCATTGTATGCCCTTCGTGGCCCCCGCTCGCAGTCGCCCGTCGTGGCCCCACACGCATGCCCTTCGTAGCCCCGCTATCGCCCTTTGTGGCCCTCTCGCTGCCCTTCGTGGCCCCTTTGCTGCCCTTAGTGGCCCCGCTGTCGCCCTTTGTGGCCCCATAGAAGATTGCCCTTCGTTTCGTTTTCAAGGGCTTCACCAACCACACGTGGCAGGGAATGAATATACCTCCCCAAAGGGGGTACGATCGAAGACGAAGAGGGCGGGTATCCAGGGTTTGGGATATGCATATTGAACGACACGCGAGCATATAAGAGCGAACAGTTTTAACTGATTGTTGTTGTTGTCGTTGTCGTTGTCGTTGTTGTTGTTGATGTTGTATTTTTTTGTTGTTGATTGTATGGTTTATATATGTATATACACACAGGAATATACTGTATGTGTGTATGTATGTACGTACGTACGTACGTGCGTACGTACGTATGTACGTATGTATATATGTATGCATGCATCTATCTTTCTATCTATCTATCTATGTATGTATGTATGTATGTATGCATGCATGCATTTATGTATGTATGTATGTATGTATGTATAGATCGGTGTGTGTGTGTGTGTGTGTGTGTTGTGTGTGTGTGTGTGTGTGTGTGTGTGTGTGTGTGTGTGTGTGTGTGTGTGTGTGTGTGTGTGTTGGGGGAGTGCATTTACATATTATTAATTCTAGTTTCTATGTAAAACATTATTATTATGTTTTCAGTCCGGGCGGGTTTCTCGATCTCGGCTTCTGGGGCGCGTTTTCGGGCCCAGAGGGCCATCAAACAAAGATCCGTGGCGGGAGGCTGCCCCCACCGGGGAGATGGTCGGGCCCTCTGGTTGGCGGCGCGCACGAGGGGTGGCGCGAGGGGTTATCCGTCTTTGAACGGACGGGTGGACCATCGATACCATCATGGGTCAAAGCCACGACGCTGATGCCACTGGGTCTGCGAAGGCGGCGGCGAGCTCGGTGGCGAGTTGTTCTGTTGCAGTGCCGACAATACCAGCAGGTTCAGCAGCATCAGACCAGCGGAGACACCAACAGTGGGCGTGCCCCTGAGAGACATGTGTCCTTGAGTGCGGTGGAGTCTCGGCGGTGATGAGATAGCTGAGTTTCTTGAGCTGAACTTCCTGACGAACCATGTGTGGCGACTTGTCGGTGGAGACGTGCAGTGGCTGGGGGCCCTGGGTGGTTTCGATGTTGATTGGCCGCTCGTCCTTGCCGATGCGGAGCGACGCGTGTAACTCACGAGCACGAGGAAGAGCGCCGAGATCGCCGCCACAAAGGGTGAAAGATGCGCGCCTGCCGGGACCGTTGGCGTTGTGCGTGGTGGCGCTGATATCGACGTTGGCTGCTGTGAACCATGCCAGAAGCGAGGTCTTGAGAGCGGTGACCCCTGCTGCAGCGCCGCACCAGAAGGTACCGACGTGAGGTTAGTGATCCCAGTTCCCGATGAAGTCGATGTTGATGGACGGGTTCATGTCCTCGGCTGCAGCGAGGGTGCGCTTGATGTCGGCGACGGCGAATGAGAGGCTGTGGTTGAAGGCTTCGGCATTGTCGGCGTGGCTCTTGATGTCGACGATGTCACGTTGAGCACGTTCTTGGCGGCTACTGAGCTCAGCGGTGGTCTCGTGAGAGTGGCGAGGGAATGGACGTGTTCGTCGGCGCAAATTTTTTTGGCAGTCTGGCGAATGTAGACTAGGCTGCGTCCACTTGTCTTTGGAGGAATTCTTACAATTCTTTACGATGGTGGGCGGGCATCTGGCTGGCGGAGAATTTGGCGGCACTTGCTGCCGATGGATCTTGTTCAGCGCTCTTGCCGACAGCGAGCACGAGTGATATGTAGGCCAACCGCAGAAGGCGAGGGATATAGAGCGCAACCACGCGGGCGCGAGGAAGGCGAAAACTGTGGTCCAAAACTGGCCCTGGACCAGGGGCCTGCGTGCTCTGCCACGGGCAACAAGCATCTTTTTGAACCAAAATGGCTACGGAGAAAGAGGAGGAGGAAGAGGAGGAGGAAGAGGAAGAAGGTAGAGGAGGAGGGTGGATGATGATGATGATGATGATGACGACGATGACGATGACGATGCTGCCGCTGCTGATGATGATGATGCTGATGACGATGAAGAATCATAATGATGATGACGATGCTGGTGCTGATGATGCTGATGACGGCGATGACGATGATTCTGTTGATGGTTATGGTGATGGTGATGATGATGATGCTGATAGCGGGGGGGCTGATGAGGAGGAGTCGCAGCCGGTGGCTCCCCTGGGTGTGCGCCCCCCTGAGGCCTCATGGTCTCCAGCGGAGGCAGGAAGCGCAGCTCGCTCGCAGCCGCAGGGCCTCCCCTTCGCCAGCCCTCCCCCCCGCCCCTGGCGGGCCGAGCGGCCCCCCCCCCGCGGGCTGAACGGGCGGCATCACGACGACGACGACGCGCCGACGACGACGGACGACCTCGCAACTACGACGGTTGGCGGCTGGCGACCTGCGCCTTCCTCCTCCACCGTTTTGGATCCCTCGGTCGCCTCCACACAGGGGCTGTCCGGTGCCAGCTATCCCGATCGCAGAGCTGGAAGTCTGGTCGGTGGTCCTCGTCCTCTCCTCCTCCAGTCCTCTTCCTGATAAATAACTCTTCCCTGTCGCACCCCGAGGCCGGTCGGAAGGGCGGGCCGAGGGTTTCGCCCGAGACTTCCCCACCATTTATGACCCTGAATCTTAAAACAGACGACAGTTTCACAAAGGAGGGCGGATGGTTTTCATAATGTGGCTGTCACATTAGCGCCGCGTGCATTCGTTTGACTAAACTGCACGGTTTTTACGGATGGAGGGCGGGCCGTTTTCAAAATGTAGCTCTCGCCTCATCAGCGCGTACATTCATCTTAAAAGTATGAAAGTGTTTCGATGGTGAAGGGCGGGTGGTTTTCAAAATGTGGCTCTCGCCTCATCAGCTCGTACATTCATTTCAAACGTTTACAAGTGATTCACAGACGAAGGGCGGGTGGTTTTCAAAATGTGGCTCTCGCCGCAGCGCCGCGCATATCGGCATAACAAAGTTTGCAGACGTTTCGCGGATGGCGGGCGACAAGCTTGCAGAAGTTTCACGGATTGAGGGCGGGTGGCTTTCAAAAAATGGCTCTCGCTGTAGCGCCGCGCGCACTCGTTCTAAACATTTGCAAGAGTTTCGCTGGTTCTCATGGTTAACGTACCAGGAACGGTGTTTTGGAACACTTTATGGCTGTCACGGCGCCACGGTTACGTTGATTCGCGGTGTTAACCCCAGGAATGGTGCTCTGGCAAGATTCAGGACCGCCAAGACCTCGCAATCAGGTAAATTGTGTCGTTGAAGTTCTGGGAACGGCGTTTTGGCACGCTTCAGGATTTTCACACGGTTGTCCCCCAACTGGGGCCATTCCCTCAGTGGAAATTCACACTTGTAGGGGTTTCTGAAGAGGGAGCTTTGAGGGAGGGTGTATTCCAACATCGTTGATGAATCTTGGGTTTGCACTGGTCCTCCTCCTCTTCCTCCTTCCCGTCTTGCCCCTCGTTTTCCTTTCTTCCTCATCCCTGCTTTCCCCCCCCCCTCCAGCCTCCCTCCTCCCTCTTCCATCCTCCCTCCCACTTCCTCCTCCTCTCACCTCCTCCTCCTCCTGCACTTCCTCCTCCTCCTCCTCTTTCCCCCGCCCTTCTTGCATCTCCACCTCCCTCTTCCTCCCCCCCCGTTCTCCTCCTCTTCCTCCTTATCCTCCCCCGTTCCTGCATCTCCACCTCGCTTTTCCTCCCTCCTTCCTCCTCCTCTTGCTGCTCCTCCTCGTCCTCCTCGTCCTCTTCGTCGACCTCCTCCTTCCCCTTCTCCGCCAGCCGCCGCCAATGTCGCTGTCGCCGTCACCCAGGTCGGTGGCCCTAACAAGGGGTTGGCGGCGGCGGTGGCAATGCCGAAACGCGTCCAGAGTCCAGCACAGCATGAGGGTGTAAACCCGGCTTGTCTGGCTGATCCTCTAGGGGGGGGGGTCTGTGCTCAGGGGGGGCTGCAGCACCGCTCACCGATGTACTGCTTAAAGGAACTAGAAAGTTGGGCCCTTTCCCTAATCCGTGCTTCGGTGCGGATCGTGCTTCGGTGCGGATCGTCTGCGTGCCCCGCCTCCATCGTTGTTGTCGGCGCCGTCGCGGTCGTGGTGCGTGTTGCTCCGCTCGGGGCTTGTTTTCCTCACGCTGTGACCACCACCACCACCACCACGTCCTCCTCCTCCTTCTCCCTGCTCCTCCAGCGCGCGCTCCCGAGTGCTGGATGGAGGGGGAGATGGGGAGGCAGGGGGACTGGAAAAGGCAGGGCGCGGGATTCAGGGCGAGAGGCGGGCGAGCGGGTGTGGAGATGAGTATGTGGGAACTCAGAGCAGGATGAATACAGTCTTCTTGTATCAAAAACTATATACATACATATGCCATTCATAGTATACATGTTTGTTTATGTATACACGTGCATGCATATGTATATTTTTATAACACCTATACGACCATCCTTCGGGTGAGAAGGATGTTGGAGGAAAAGAACACCCACTGACAACAACTGCGATAACTCTGATGGAGATGAGATGGCGCCATCGATCTCACGGATGTCACAATCCATAATCCATCTCATCATCGATATCACTATTGCCCTCGACATCGATCGCACTATCGATCTCAATCTCAAAATCCTAATCGATTTCGCATCGCCCTCACAACAGATCTCACGCGACGCCATCGGAACACCGCGATGGGGTACCCCCAGCCACGACGGGGCATCCCCAGCCAAAGATCTGTTCTGATCGATCTCACTTTCGGTATCACTATCGATGCCACTATCGATCTCTCGATCTCACGATCGATCTCACGATCACGATCAATCACGCAATGGATCTCAAAATCGATCTCGCAACTGCTCTCACGAGCTACCATCGAGACACCACAGTGGGACACCCAAAGCCACCGTCGGGACACCCCGCGCCACCGACGGGACAACCCGCGCCACCGACGGGGCACCCCCGCGCCACCGACGGGGCTACCCGGGATCGGTCTCACGATCACGATCGATCGCGCAATCGATTTCACTATCGATCTCACGATCGATCTCGTAACTGATCCCACGAGCTACCATTGAGACACCACGGCGGGACACCCCGAGCCACTGTCGGGTCACCCCGCGCCACCGACGGGGCACCCCGCGCCACCGACGGGACACCGAAGCGCCACCGACGGACACCCCCAGCCACCGCGCGCCTGGGGGGGGGGGCGGACAGCGGGCTCCACAGCCCCTAGCCACGGCGGCATCATTCCTCTCGCGTGCCCACGCATTTTCGCCTCGCTCGGACGCGCGACACGAACACGAAACCGAAACCGATTTCCCTGTGGGGGGCTCTCCGTGCCACTGCTATCTCTCCCCCCGTCCTTCCGATCTGTATGTATATGTATACGTAGATGTACATACATATGTATATATATATATATATATATATGTATATATACACATAAAATCTGTCTGTATATATATATATATATATATGGATGTATATATATATACATATGTATATTTGTATATATATATGTGTAATTATAACATGAAAGTATGTATTATTGACAAATATCTAAGTGAGCGTGCCGAACGGTCGTTCATTGTCCCTGGGTGCCTGGCTGAAATGGGATTCTGCGGTGCGGATTGTGGTTGTTGCGTTGCTTGTTGTTTGTTGTTTGTTGTTCCCGCGACCCGGCCCGCGAGCCAGCCCGCGAGCCGGCCCGCGAGCGGGACCCCGACCCACCCGCGACCTGCCAGCGACCTGCCCGCGACCTGCCCGCGACCCGCTCGCGACCCATCTGCGACCCACCCACTTGCTTTGACGAAAACTCCGGCGCCTGCGGCGGGCTCTTGTATAATTTGTCCAAGCATCAGCGCCTGCGGCGGGCTTCTTCAGAGCCTCGCAGACTGCCGACGACCCCGCCACCCCTCACTCTTATCCACAGCTGCGGGGTGCTACACATATGGGCGAGTTTCGCAAGGCCCGAACCCGACAAGTTTTCATCTCTTGGGGGCGCATCTTTTACTTCCGCCGCCTTCCGCCACCTTCCACCCGCGGAGGCGGCCTCGTTTTACTTCCGCTGACCTGTCGCCGCCCTTCCGCCGCTTCAGCGACGGAAGAGATGGCAACTCCTTCGATCCTCGAAGGCAAGGCCCTTTTTGGAACGCTTTACATACAAATACCTATCTGTCTATCTGTCTGTCTGTCTGTTTGTCTGTCTGTCTTTGTCTGTCTGTCTGGTCCGTCTGTCTGTCTATATCATTATATATACAAATATTTGTACTTTTATACGTGTGCGTCTATATACACACATATATATATACACATAGATAGATGTACATATGGGTCTAAACTCTTAACGTTGGCGTTGTTTGCAGAGGCGAGAGCGGGGCACACGAGGCTCTGGGGCCCCTCAGGGGCCCGAGCTCTTGCCGAGGTCGACGCGCTCCCACCCAGCGCGCTGACCGCAGTATCCCCACCAGGAGGAGAGGAATCGGGCGATACCTCGGCCCGGGACCACCCCGAGCCAAAGGAGGCGTACATATCGATCACATCCTTTTGTGCCTTCTTCGCTCCTGACTCTCTCCTCTCCGCGCTCTTCTGTGCATTTTCTCATCCTCGTTGTCCTCCTCCTCCTCCTCCTCCTCCTCCACATGCGGCTGGTTGGAAACCAGTGCGTTCCAGCTTTTCCAAGCTCGGCTGCGCTTTTTCAATGCGTGTCAAAAACTACCCAGCTGGAGGTAGCCCTGGGTATGCTTTGGAACTTGGATGTGTGCATCTATGTTCACATGCTTAGCCCACCAGCCCTTTAGGGCGTGGGTGGTCTAGAGCGTTTCCTCTGCCAACCCCCTTCTTTCCCTTCGGGGAGGGGTTTACCCCTCTCCTTACCCCTCCCCACTGACCTGGACGAGGGGTTCCGCGGGTCGTTGGGACGTCCAAGATGGCCCAAGAAGGCTTCAACAGCGAAAAAACGAATAAGCACAACACATTTTTTCTTAGGTTTTGGAAGGATTTTGGCCTCTTGGGGGGCCCAAGAGGCGATTCGAGGCACTCTAGAGCGGCAAGGCTAATATACGACCCCCCCTTCTTTGATAGATCTCCTCCAAGATGGTCCCAAGAGCGCCCCGAAGGCTCCCAAGAGCGCCCCAAGAGCGCCCCAAGAGGGCCCCAAGAGGCCCCAAGAGGCCCCCAAGAGGCCTTCAAGAAACTCCCAAGAGACCCCCAAGAGGCCCCAAGAGGCTCCCAAGATGGCCCAAGACGGCTCCAAGAGCGAAAAAGCGAAAAAGCACAAAACATTG